CTTTAAAGTTTTTAATTTTTAATTTAAAAAACATAAATGAACATGTACACGAACAAGTTCCACTTCTGGTACAAGAAAATGTACATGAAACCTGCATAAGAATATGTTCAAGAACATGTACATTTTTTATACAAATATATTTTCTTGATCAGGATCTTGTACAATTCTACTACAAGAACATTACTTGAACATGTACAATTTTGTTCATGATCATGTACACGAACTTGTATGTTCTTGTACAAGTTTTTTCAGCCGGGGTAGCGATTATGTAATTTGATTTAACTTTGACGTCAAAGTCATTTTCATTTTGACTTCGTAGTCAAATGTCATTTTTCGTAGTTTTACGTAAAATGATTGTTTTGATTTGTCAAATTGTAATTTCCACAATTTATTTAGGAATTAAATTATAAAAAAGTAAAGTAAGTAATTTTAAACAGTTAAAAAAGCGGTATAATTAAGGAATTTTTAAAAGATTAATAATTAGGTTAAAATTATTAAATAAAAAATTATTTCGTCTGTCAACGGTAAGTATTTTTTAATGTTGAATCCAGGGATATGTTATAATTGTTTTGAATAATGCCTTACTTTTATTTTTATAAATGTAGTCAGAATAAAATAAACAAAAAAATCAAAAACTAAAGATTATTTAAATAATTCTTTAAATTTTTCCTCGTAACATATGTGAATAAATAAATAAATAAAATAATATTAATGTTTTAATTACATTTCATAAATTAAAGTTTTTTTAACCTCTTACTTTTACTTAGTTTGTTAAAGTTATAAAAGTTTTTTTAAAAATCCTGGTAATGCTGTCTTGATCTTTTTAAAATTACTTACTTCACTTTTTCATCATTTAATTTCTAAATAAAGTTTTTATTCTTAAATTTTTAATAAAGGGAAAAAAGTAATTATACTTCAAAATTATGGTTATTCCAATGTGACAAATCAAATCAAATAACTACGAAATCAAAATGAAAATGACTTTGACGTCAAAGGTAAATCAAAATACATAATCGCTACCCGGGAACAGCCCTTTATTCAGCGCTAAGCGAAATAGAGGAAGAGTTTGACTCAGGGGGCTATGCAGTGGGTACTCTCATAGATTTAGACGGTGCATTTCCTAACACCTGTAAAGAGCCCTGGAAGCAGATTATGAAGAGGCCAAAATAAATGGCCTAATCTCCTGAGGTTGCCCACAAGGCGCAGTTTTATCTCCTCTATTGTGGAGTTATTAGACGAACTTAATAGAGAGGGATTTTATACGCAAAGCTATGCGGATGACTTCCTGATTATTGTAAGAGGTTTCTCGTTAGATACACTCTTAAGAGTTAACAGAGGGCATTAGGGATTGTCAAAAGAGGGTGTGAACGGATTGGCCTCTCTGTTAATCCACACAAGACAGATATTGTTATCTTTACTAGGAAATACAAGAGTATCAATATAGTAGGTTTTGAACTACTTTTTGGGTTAGCAGGAGGGCAATTGGATTATCTTGAGGTCTAAACCCGGATATTGTTCAATGCCTGTATCGTATGATCCTGTTGCCAATGTTTCTGCATGCTGTTGTTTGGTGGATTAGAAGCCAGTTGAAAACGGTGATAATGAAGCTTAAACAACTACAGGCAAATGGCGTTTAGAGAGATTACTGGCCCGATGAGAACCATGCCAACGTTTGCGTTGGGTTTCTTGTTGGCAGAAGAACCTCTATATATTTTAACGGTCAAGAAAACTGCTCTCATTATGAGCAGACTTCAAGCACAGGAAAATTGGAGAGCTAGGGGAAAACACACAAAACTCCCAGCCTTAATACTGAAGATCCGAGAAATTAGTACGGGACAAGACAGAATGGTCAAAAGAGTGAAATTCAAAGCTAGATTTAAGACCATTATTCTTTAATAAAGGATTTGGAAAAAGGCTTTCCACTTGGAGATGAAGTATGATATATGGATGGATCTAAGATGGAAAGAGGTACAGGTTCGAGTGTATACTGTAAGTCTAATGCCACTAAAGTGACATTATCTTTAGATAATTACACCACGGTTTAGCAGGAGGAGGTCTGCGCAGTAGTGACTTGCGCAATGATTTGTCTTGAAAAAGGAAAATCCGGCAAAAGAATTAATATTTGTGTCGATAATCAGGCAGCTTTAAACGCCTTGAGTAATCCGACTATAGAATCGAAACTATTTTGGGAATACAGGAAGGTATTAGACGAGCTACACGGTGGGTTCGAACCAAGTTCAAACCAAAAGTGTAAACCCTTTAAATTTTATTGTAGATTTCTATTCTATTACACTACCGTCCGAAATTGTGCGAACTCTGTTTTTTCAACAACTATAAAACTGTTCAAATCTTCAAAAATATTAAAACTAAAATTTTTTCCTCTTTATTTTATTAAAGTTAATAAAATTCTGAAACAAATGACATCTTGACAAAGAGAATATGTTAATTTTTCAATAAGATATCTAAGAAAACCCCAATTTTCAATGTTTTTACTATTTTTTTTATTTCTCTGGCAAAAATTAATATTTTTAAACGTTCTGAGGCTCATTGAAATAGTATTTTGTTATGCCATTCAAATTATATAAAACAATTCATGTACACATTCTTCCCTAGCGTATGCAAACCATGAAAGTTGGCTCATAAAATGTTAAAAAATTTAAATTTAATTCTACAATAAAATATAATGTTTAAAAATCCAGTAAATATATCATTCTAAACTTCTCTGATTTATGTAAGGAAATTTAAGATTTATACATTTTACTGATCATTTTTTGTCATATAAATATTAATCACAATTTTTTGACATTTTATGAGCCAACTTTCACGGTTTGCATACGCTAGGGAAGAATGTGTACATGAATTGTTTTATATAATTTGAATTGCATAACAAAATACGATTTCAATGAGCCTAAGAACGTTTAAAAATATTAATTTTTGACAGAGAAATAAAAAAAATAGTAAAAACATTGAAAATTGGGTTTTTCTTAGATATCTAATTGGAAAATTAACATATTCTCTTTGTCAAGGTGTCATTTCTTTCAGAATTTTATTAACTTTAATATAATAAAGAGGAAAAAATTTTAGTTTTAATATTTTTGAAGATTTGAACAGTTTTATAGTTGTTGAAAAACCAGAGTTTGCACAATTTCGGACGGTAGTGTATATCTCCAGAGTAATTTAAGACCAAAAAGAAAAAAATCGTTAGACGTATTTTTAAGAAAATCGTGTTTCTGTATTTTTAGGGTTCCGTACTTCGTTCGGAACCCTATTAATATCGGTTTTTTTGAAATCGTGTACCCCCCCCTGAGCGGACACATCTTTTGACATAAAGAGCTCAAATTTGGCACACTTACGTATTTTAACGTGAAAATTACAGGAAAAATAAAAATTTGGGTTCCTCGCGGAGGAAGCAATAAATTTCTTTAACTCATTTAGGTGATTTAAATGATTTAAATTCAATTAAAACGCAAAATGTAAATACAATAAATATATTGCGAGTTGAAATAAAATTATGTTTCTTATATTTTTTTAGTAAAATATTTTTTATAAAATAAAATCGGACAAGTGCGAGTTACACTCGCACTGAAATCGAGGGTTCCGTACTCGATGCGAACTTATTTGGTATAAAAACAAATGTTTAAAAAGTATGTGTTATATGTTAAATAATATATGTGATACAAAAAGGAAAATTTTTTTTAAAAAATGAAGAAAATTGTTCCTCCTTTGGTATAAAAACAAAAAAAATTTTAAATATGTGTTGTATTTCAAATAATATAAGTGATACGAAGAGGAACAATTTTGTAAAATTTAAGAAAATTGTTCCTTTTTGTATCACTTATATTATTTGAAATACAACACATATTTAAATTTTTTTTTGTTTTTATACCAAAGGAGGAACAATTTTCTTAAATTTTTTTTTTAATTGCTTCTTTTTGTATCACATATATTATTTAACATACAACACATATTTTTTAAACGTTTGTTTTTATACCAAATAAGTTCGCTTCGAGTACGGAAGCCTCGATTTCAGTGCGAGTGTAACTCGCACTTGTCCGATATTTTTTATTCTAAAATCACTGGCAGTGATTAGGTTGCTCACGGGACATGGCTTCGTAAAATATCAAAAGCACAAAATAGGTAGAAACTTCGGTACTAGCTCGTTTTAGATTAGATTAGATTTACTTGATTTCCTACTTGGATGATATGAGACTAAAGTCTATCGCGTAGCCCAAAGTACCATAGAAAACTAATGTTCTAAAAAAAAATTTGGTGCAAACTTGCAATGCATAGTTAAAAAAAGGGTCACAATTTGGCAGCAAATTTACCGTGCCAACTTGCAACTTACCCTTGTAAACTTGCTGCAAACAATTATGCTATCTGGGATAGCATGTCTGTTTTGTTCTTACTTGCCAAAATTCCAATCAGTTTCTAGTTAATATTTTAGTTACATATGACAATACAATTTCTCTTTAAAAGAAGAAGAAATATGATAGTAAGGGAACTCACCCACCGCAAAATTCAACCCGACTTTATGCGATGGGTGAGAGGCTACTTTAAAAAATAAAAATCACTTCTTTTTAGAGCTTTCTGACAGTACGTAAGTTTGCTGCGAGCTTATGACAAGATTGTCACAAACTTCAAATGTCCCACCTATGGCAAACTTTCTGCGCACAGTTGCTTCAAGGTAATTTAAATTTTACTGTAAGTTTGCCGAGTAAGCTTGCCTTGCACTTGCGTAGGTACTACATGTGAAGTTTGTAGCAGTCTTGAGACCAGTTTGCACGAAAATCTTGCCATAAGCATGTCAAAAACTTACGTGCTTTCTGGGCTATTCATTTCCTTCCTTTTTGTCTTAATCTTTTTTTTGTAGTATTTAGATCTTTTATAAATACGGAACAAGGAGAGGTAATTCCTCATCAGTTGTGTAACGAAAAGCGAGAAAAAAATAATTTAAAAAAAGCCATTTCTGGAATCGGCGAACTGTTCTTTTAATGACTTACAGGATATTGAGAGCTAAGATGCGCAACTAAGAATCCTCCATGAGAACCGCCACATAATCCAATATAATTTGGATCAAGCCATGGATACTTTTTTAAAGCGTCGTGAGTGGCAGTAATACAATCCAAAACATCTACTTCACCAATTCTACCTTGTAGGTATTCAATGTTTTTTTTGCCCATTCCTGTTGATCCTCTATAATTCACTCTCACGATGCCAAATCCTGCAAAAAATTATTAAACGTCATATGAAAAAATTATTAATTATAAATTAATTAATTAATCAATTAATTTAAAACATAGTCGTTCTGTTAAATTCTTTTAAAAAAACAACTTTCATGTTTCTCCCAATTAGGATCTCAAATACTGTGATACACCATCTGGTGTCAATCTCGTTGTGGTGACTATGACACAACAAGGTCATTTTCCCATGATTCCCTATGATTTCAGATCCCTATTGTATTAAAGCACTATGAAATAGTGATGGAACATCGACATCGAAAACATCGAATGTTTCGATTTCGATGTCGATGTTTTAGGTTCGATATTTTCCATATATCGATGTTTCCTTTTCGATGTTTGGAATCGATGTCTGCCCCAACCTTGTCTCACTTATGAAAAAAACAACCTTCTCTCTTAGATGGCGTATGTTAATATTGACCAATCAAACAATAAGGCCGTTTCCAAATTGGGATTTTTGTTGCACTTTTGGTAAAGTGTATACACGGGAAGTATGCAGTATCCTTGTTTTTCCGTGAGAAAAAAGGACACAGCATACTTCCCGAGTATAAACTTTATTAAAATTGCAACAAAAATCCCAATTTGGAAACGGCCTAATGGAGCATATACAACTTCGGTAAAAGCTGTCCAGAACGGAAAATCTACATTGGAGTAAGAGAGACCGATACAAATTTCCTTTTTCAGATTATCTTTGAGTTGACAGCAACAATAATTAAAATTATAATTTTTTACTTTTAAGTAAGCAAATATAATAAGTTTAAAATACAATATTCATTAAATATTTATTTATACCATCTCTTTCTATATACAAGTTTAACACAAGTTTCAAGGGTTTATGTAAATATTATATTTTACAGTATCATTAAGCAATTTGAAGATTTTTAAGTTCTAATGCTTATTATTTTGCAATTAAAAAATTAAATTTTTTATTCTAAGCTATTATACTATTAAAAGATTTGTTTATTTTAAAAATAAGGTCGTACTATTCAATGATTCACGTAATCTTTTAATTTCTAAATATTCGATGGTAAAAAGATCGAAAACATCGATGTTTTTAAATCGATACATCGACTCATTTTGATGTTTAATATTTTCGATGTCGATGTAGTGTAATATTGATGTTTTGCTATCGATGTTCCATCACTTCTATGAAAACTAAAAACATAAATTTTTTCGTTTTGATTTAAATTATTTGAAAAAATCGTAAAGTGAAAATAGAAATTGCTTCTCTATGATTTTCATTGAGTTGAATGATTTAAAAAATCAAATTTCATAACAAATGTTTATTTAAACATTAATCCACATAGTACTACTTCTTTCTGTGAGGTTACTGTAAGGATATCTGTAGGGTTTGTAAGGTTACCGTGTAAGCCTACAGTAAACTTAAGGTAATCTTAAAACTTTCGCCATTACAGTAAGGTACCACAGTAAAGCTAAGGTAAGCTTAAACAGTAAGGTAGTGGTAAGTTGACATGGGAAGATTGTGGTAAGCTTACACGGTGAGGTTGTTGTAAGCTTCTCGTAAAGTTACCGTAAGGTTGCTGTAAGGTTACTGTAAACATAGAGTAATATAAAAATATGTTAAAAATATTTATATTAAAATATATAGAGTAACTCCAGGTCAACCGTGTCAACAAATTTTCATTGATTTTCTAAAATGTTAAAACTTTTATGAAAATTTGTAGTTTATAATATAACAAAAAAACACTTTTAACCGTTTTTTGAAATTTTAAATTTTTGTTAGTTTTTTTGCATAAACAAAATTTTACAAATCCGGTGTCCGTTTTTCAAAATTCAACATGGCAGATCCAATATGGGCGACGACTGATTACGCATCTGATATTAGTAAATTGTATTGATTTTTAATTTTCCTTTCCGCCATATGGGATCCGACATTTTAGATTTTGAAAAACTTACATCAGATTCAGATTTTAAAAAACAGACACCAGATTCTTTATCAGCGACCTCAAAAACTTTGAGTAACGATTGTCAAGCAAATATGTTTAATTTTTAAAAATTTGTCCGACATATTTGATCTGCCATTTTAAATTTTGAAAAACTGACTTTAAATTCGCAATTAGCGACCCCGAAAACCCCCGCGTAACTATTTTCAAGGAAATATGTTTAATTTTTCAAAATTCGTCCGCCATATTGGATCCGCCATATTAAATTTTCCAAATCTGACGTCTGATTTGTAATCAGCGACCCCAAAAATCTAAGAATACCCAGAAATGCTTAAATTAAATTAATTCCTTTTTTTTACTGTACACTCAAATTCGCCCTGTCGAAAAAAGTGCCACAACGCAACTTTTTGTGGGCTATTTATGTACCTTAGATTGTCAAAAGATTAAATATTTTTTGCAATTATATTTGCAAAATATTACAATTATAATTTAGAATTAAATTATTGAATATCCTGCTATAGATCTTGTTTTTTTTATGGAATTTAAGCAGCTGGGTCCCTTGGACTCAGCTCAGGAACGAACGTCAAGAAAAGGAAATCAGGCACGTGAGGGTTAACACAGGTGTATACAACTAAAAAACGGGAGTAGAATTTTTATTAAGGATTCTCCAGAGGGTGGTGCGGAGTAAGGGGATAGTTTCTATTCTTCCCGTGTGAAGGCTCACAAGTTTGCAACCTTAGAAAAAATAAATTTTTATTTGATAAGTAAGGTTCTTGTCCTTATTGATAGGAGAATTGTTTAGAAAAAGGTGTATAAATTAAAAATAAGCTTTCCTCGTTACTAAAATATTATAAATTCTATTTAATTAAATTTTTTAAAAAGTACTTGAAATCATGGCAACGTCGCATTCTCGTCGCGTAGTTTATGTAAGGTTGGTAAGACTGGTCTTTGTATGTATATATGTATGTATGTATGTAACACAGATTAGGCCTACACCTGATCTGACAGCTAATCTCAAATTTTTTGTTATATGTTATTATTTAATTGTTGAACTTCCATAAAACACTTAAAATTGAAATGAAAATAAGATTATTTACTTATAAGAAATTTGTAATATAAGTCGTTCACCTCAAAATTTGAAAATAAAATGGAATTTTCTTTAACCTTATATAAGCATATAAATAGTTTATTTATTATCCTTTATTTCAATTTGCATGATAATAATTAGTAAACAAATATCCAATTAAATAAAACTGTGATTGTAGTAGTTTTGAACTATATTTTATTTTGACAAAAATATTTAATTATAATTTGAGGTTATGTACTTGTATTTTTATCACTCTTTTTATTTTCCAATAATTAATCAGAATTGAATTTTTATAAACTTTCAAATTAAACATAACATACAATATTCTATTAAAATTGCAGTTTAATCCATTATTTTCTAAAAATAATATAAAAAAATATCTGAATATAAATATCAATTTGTCGACTTGTATACTCGCATTTGAAATTCGCGGCGAGTTTCTGCGCAAACGTGCCAAACACGTGTTGCGAAGTTGACACGTTTTCATGTCTGCTACACTTACTATTATTATTATGACAAAAAATCAAACTTTATTATTTATTTACTCAAAAACTATGTGGTAAACTTTCTTTATATTGTGCAGTTAATAAATTTATCATATTTTCTTCCTGTATACCAACTTTCAGATTTTTGTGTCATTTCCATCACACTTTTTTCCTATGCTTTTTACACGTTCCCATAAGAGCCCATGTTAAATTGGTCATATATTTTTTTTTTTTTCTAAAAAACTACGTGGTAAAAAATTCTGAAAAAAATCATAACTCCCTAAATCAATCTAATGAACAAACTGTCAAAATTTGGTAAGTCTGTGTCATTTCCTTATATTGCCAGGGAGAATCCTTAAAAGACAAAAAATGTAAACCTCTTTTTTTCGCGCATCAAGCTCAAGCACGTTTGGATGTAAGGCAGGTCAGGCGCTTACGTTAATATGGCGCGCGTCACAATAAAAAATTTGTTTAATACACTTCTGGTGGAAAATACAAATTTTTTCTTTTTTGAACTTAACGAGGAGACTGCTATGTACACTTCATTTAAGTTTCATCACAATCAGAAGGGTAGGACACAAAAATAATGTAAATTGTTTATAAAATTGTTATTAAAAATATCGAATTTTTAGGTTTACAAGTTTGGAATTATATTAATTGAAAAGAGGGCCATTTTTTCTATAATCAGTATAAGTTTCATTAATTTATTGCAAACGGTTGTTGAGTTATTAATTTTTCTTTAAAATGTTGTAAATTTTTGTTTATGCAAAAAAACTAACAAAAATTTAAAATTTCAAAAAACGATTAAAAGTTTTTTTTTGTTTTAGTATAAACTACAGATTTTCTAAAAGTTCTAACATTTTAGAAAATCAATGAAAATTTGTTGACACGATTGAGCTGGAGTTACTCATATTATATTATAATTTTTTTTTATAAAAAATTATATATTTGGTAAAGTACTTCGTGAACCCCAATAGGGTTTGTTAAATAAAATTTACTGTGCAGCCGTATGTGCCATAGAAAACTACTGCGCATAAATATTACTAAAATTTCTTTTATTAATAACATTCTATGTTTACAGTAATCTTACAGTAACCTTACAGGAAGCTCACAACAACCTTAAGGTGTAAGCTTACCACAACCTTACCATGTAAACTTACGACGACTTTACTGTGTAAGCTTACCTTAGCTTTACTGTGAAAGCTTCCCTAGAAAAAAATTACACGTGTAATTATACGTGCAGATTTGGTCACTAGTAATTACACGTGTAATTTTTACTTAAAATTTGAAAGTTATTTTTCAGAAAATTACACGTGAAACTTTTTTAAATTTCATGATTTTTGGTACACGTGTAATTCCACGTGTAATTTATACTTTGATATTTCTCGGATATTTTTTAAACTATTACACGTATAATAAAACGTGTAATTTATACTTTAATACTTCTCGAATATTTTTTAAACTTTTACACGTGTAATTTATATTTTGAAACTTTTTTGAAATTTCAT